TTCCCAGCGATTAAAAATTGACTTTATTTGAAAACCAGCATAAATATGGTCGAATATTTGACGAAAATGCCTCAACTGGTTATCATCATTCGGATATACGCTTTTGTTGGTGCACACTTCGTCATTATTAAACTAGCACTGATATACTCCCGGCAACTTCATGGCCAAATCGTTTTGCTACATGCAAAGGACTAGAGTCACACAAGTTGAAATACTGTTCAGATACAGGACACGACATGGGACACGGGAAAGGCAGGGGCTGAAGATAAATGGGCATTACTCAAGCAACCTGCGATCAGCAGATGATATTATGTTCTTCTCGAGGTCGCCACAAGAATTCCAAAGAAGAATCCAAAAGCTGAACGACGCCAGCATCAAAGCAGGACTGGAAATGAACCCTAAAACGAATAAGGTTCTTAGCTTTGAGGGGCTAAACTGTCTATTTGGAGCAGTTAATCTCCACAACGGAGAGCCCACTTTTGAACAGAAGAACAAAAATAGTACGGAGCAATTTTGGAAGAGTGAAAGTGTTCTGATCCGGGAAACTGCTCCATATATATAAAACAGTATTTCATTTGATGCTTCGAAAAGGGTCTCGTTCGACTCAATAGAGATATGCGCATTTTCCCTGCATGTATGCGCAGCAACTACTATACTGCAGACAAATCAGCATTGCAGCGGAAAGACAGTTGGGACGTCAAACGTTTCATACTAGCGAGTGCGTTCCTAGGAAACAGCATAAGTAACCAAGCTCAAAGTACACAAAAATGCGGACTGGTGCATTCACACTGTTCTTTCGGAAGACTAATCCGCGTTATAGCATTCCTTTCATGCATTTCCACGTGTTTGTGACTGTGAAATACCGCCATATGACCCTGCAGGCGAAGAGCGCTTTCAGCTTGTTGGTCAGGTGTTATGCCCTGTGATATTTCTGCAACAGCCCGCGCTTGTGGCAATTCGATGAAACGGAGTTCGCTTCCTGCTTTACATGTCAGCATCATCAATAATTCCGCAACAACTGTGCATTTTACACTTTCCAAGTTTATCTCTTTCCTCCAAATCGTAGTTGGCTCATGCAACAACACATTAAAGCCTTGGCCCTACGGCTTACACAAATAACTCAGGAGCAGGAAAATTGTGTGATTATGCTGTGGCATGTAAATGAAATAACGTGTCTTAGATTTGTCTGAATAACATCATCGTGTACATCCATCGACTGGTCGATCGAACGGAGATCAGTAGTCGAAGCCCGCTATGAAAATTTGAAAATTGTTACGCACGCACCGCAGACCTGGAGTGTTTCGTCCAGCTCGTATGCTGAAAACTCGAATCGGCTTACGGAAAACTGTACTGAATACTGTCGCAAGTCGAAGAATCTGTCCGCCCTAAAAGAATTTTTCTAAAACCATACGTAACAAACATATCGCAACATTTTTGACTTACTCCCTCCAGCACGCTGCCGTCAACGTCGATGTATTCCTCGCCGGACATTGGTCCCTAAAAGGTGCTAAGCGAATTATTGCAAGGCAAAAACTGCAGCAGTCGATCAGGCGCGAATAAGGCAAAAAGGAGCTTCAACTCGCACCTGTCCCTCAATTTACGAACGTAACAGCTCCAAGAAAACTGTTCGCAAAATTAAAACTTGCAAATCGAAAACGAAATTTATTAATTTCAATACATTAATTTCTGACTGATTTCAATCTCCAAAAAAATCACCAAATGTTTTTTTTGGGAAACGAAAATCAGTCTGAATTTTTCTGTATTCAAATTAATGACTCATTCTCGATTTGCGACTTTTCAGTTTATGTCTCAAAATACTACACAATCACAAAAATATGAATTTTATTACTTCTTTATGACATTAATGCCCGATTAAAACGTGTCAAGCAATATTAATGTTTAATCAAACGCCTTTACTGCACGGCAGATACAAAAAAGAACCGTCATAAAAATTTACGTAAAAAAGGAATGAATAACTGTCGCTGTCAAAAGCATAATTATTGAATGCATAACAACCATTAGCACAGGTGGAGGCAGATTTGAGTTAGGAACGAACTGTTCGTTCCAGATAAAGTTAACCGGTGCCATATTAAAAAATACAGAAAGAATGAAAACGCGGTGAACATCACAAACGACACACGCTTTGTAAATGATTCAAAGTGATGACCATTACAAACATAAACTCCGCAAGGAGACTGAGGGATGTGAGTCAGCATCGCATTTTTCACATGTATTCCTCCAAGTTCGTCGTTTACGAAGCGGACACTCAGAAGACGGTTAGTTCTGCACTGTAGCGAAAATAATGTTCATTATTTGAAAAACAGGAACACAGCTACGTAGTTTGTTGTAGCGAAAATTCGTTAAACTAGGGATATTGTACGTTATTTTATGTGCAAATGAGAAGCAGTCATGTAGACTTCGGATCTCGCCGACTACCTGTGCGAGACATACAGGAGAGAACGAAGGAAAGCTTGCAACCCTTGGGAAGTCAGTCTCCACCACACTTTCATGATTGTGGGCCATTTGCTGGGCCCTTCATTTCGTCGGCGTTGACCACCATTTTTATGCCATCTACCAGGGGTGCCTCTTTTCTCTAAGAGAGAAACTACAGCTATGTGGAAGGCATAATGCAGAGTCCCGTTTCACTCTCACAGAGCGGTACTCATCCATAAGCCTTGAACAAAAGATAGACAAGTGACCAGACCAGGGGTCGAATCCAGAACCTTTTTGCAAGAATAAAAATAAAGGAAACTTGTCGAGTGAAGCACCTTGTCCTTCGATTTAATGCGCTGACACCATCAGAGGAAATGTATAGCTAAAAGTCATCGAGTCTCGGTCGATGTTCAATAAACTTCGCGAATCGCAAGCTGTTTAAACAATGGTAAGAACCTTTATTTAAAAAATGAAGTCTCGCAGTGAGGAAGAATTAACGTTTATAAACGCGAAGAGTTTCTAAAATTAGATCAATAAAAAACTTAACTCAGAAACCGAAATTCTGGACCACACAGCCACGTTGGCCATCGTCAGGAAATAGC